GTGATCCACCCGCCTCGGCCTCCCAAAGTGCTGGGATTACAGGCGTGAGCCACCGCGCCCGGCCTCTTCTTCTTTTTTTAATGTTTATTATTATTATTATTATTTTATAGAGGCAGGGTTGCACCATGTTGGCCAGTCTGGTCTTGAACTCCTGACCTCGTGATCCACCTGCCTTGGCCTCCCAAAGTGCTGGGATTGCAGGCGTGAGCCACCACGCCTGGCTTGTCCACGGTTTCTTTGGTGTTATTCTGGGTATGTCTGAGAATTCAGTGACTGGCAGAATAAGAGATGCAAGCTTGAAATTTCCAGTCACCCTATTGACAACTAAGGTTTTGTTGTTTGAGGCCATTACATAGTTTCAGCTATAGGAATACTCACTGAAATTACTGAACCATCTATATGAAATGTTCCGAAGTGTCCATCCTTTTCCTCGGAGTTCTTGACCCTCTTGTAGATTCCCTAGTTAATGCCTTTTGAAGATCCACTTGTCCACTCACTCCATTATTCCAGCTTGAGAATAGCTCTCCTTGTGCTCAACTCTTCTTTGCTTGAGGGTTACTGGAGTCTTTGCTCTGCCCGTTAGCGATTCTCTCTTCGGAATCTTGAACTCTATTTTAGAGTCTTCTTCATTGTCACTGTATCTGTCATTACTGTATCTGTATCATTACTTCCATTCTGCCTTGTATTTTCTGCTGAATAAAAAATTATTGACAGAGGGATAGATCGATTCTGTTCCTTGCTCCCACAGTTTCAAAAGCTTTTTCTCATATAGCTTCCCAGCCCACAATAGAACCAGTATTCATTCCGTATTTTACAAGCTGAACCAAAAGATCTTCATTAGTGAGCTCTGCTACACGCAGATCGTCTTTATCATCTCGTCTGGGTTTATCTGTTTTGTGGCTTTCCTGCCAGCTACGGCCCCGGAGCGGAGACTGAGGTGGGCTCGCGCTCCTTGTAGCTGGAGAATTCCGCAGGCCCCTCTCGCCTGTGGCGAGCAGCGGCCCTGCTAAGTGATTTGAGACTGTTTAGTAGCTGAGATCGACTGCAGCGGTTTGAGATGGAAGAGATTGTGTAAGCAAACTCTTTTGCGTGAGCTCCTCAACCTCATGAGAGGATACATATGAAATGGGCTGTCTACGCCTCTTTACAGGCTCCAAAATTCAAAATACTGAAATACTTTGAAATTTTGCGATTAGCTACTATACTTTGCATACAGATAACTCCTTCACTAAAGAAGCAGGAGTCACAGCTTTAATATTTTCATCTCCAAAATGGACCGAGAAATCGTGTAACTTTCTCCCGCCAGAAAGTTCAAATAAAAAGCGCTTAAAAATAAAAAAATTCCTTCCCCTTTATTTTTCCGGGGCCGGCTCAAGGTGACTGACGTAGATTCCTGCCAATTGTAGGAGGCTTCCTCGAGCGTGGTCGCGCTTCGTCGGTTTATGAATAACCAGCCAATGAGAGCGCCGCTGCTTCGGCTGGCGGGGACCCATTGAAGAAGAACAATGGGTATTGGCCACAGCCTGAGGCTTCTGTCCAATAGGAGCATGCCTGCCCGCGGCTCTGGCGCGGAGCTTGAGCGGCTCGGGAAGTGGCAGTTGGTATTGGTAGGTTCTGAGTTTGGGTGAGGTAGCTAGAGTCTTCGGCGGGCCCGCGAGCCTGGTCGCGACCTACTGGCGTCAGGTGAGGAGGACTCTTGCTTCTCCCCAGGCCTTGGGTCTCTAGCTCCTGGATAACTTCCCCACTTCTGATTCCTAGATTGGGGTCCCGGAGACACCTTACGAGGTGGGGCTTGCGGGCGGGCTTCGGCGGCCTGAGCTGATTCGGGCCCTCCGCGCAGCGCCAACAGTCGGGGCTGAGGAGCCCGAGCACCTGCACTTTGGGGGTTGCTGAGTGTGGGGGGCTGCTGAGCGTGGGGGCTGGGCAGGTAGGAGTTCGGCGCGGTTACGGAACGTGCGGAGTTCGCCGCAGCCGGGTCTTTCCGGGCGGGGCTGTGGGGTCGCCCGGCCCCTCCCCCGCGAGCCTCGCCTCGGGCTCTTAAGCGGCGATACCTGGTGCCAGCTATGAGCGCCGGTTATTTCATCACTTTCAAGTTAACAGAAGAACTTCATTTTTAATTTCATCATGGAAACTGGCGACTTGCATTGTCTCCGTTTTACAGGCGAAACAAGTTGAACTGAGAACTTAGGAAACCCGCCTAAAGTTTCCCATGCAGTAAAAGAGCAAGGATTTGATATTTTTCTTTTTTCTCTTTCCTTTCCTCCTCTTTTCTCTCTTTTCTTTTCTTTCTTGTTAAAGAAGTCTCCCTGTTGCGCCCAGGCTGGAAGAGCTCACTGCAGTCTCGAGCTCACTGCAGTCTCGAACTCCCAGGCCCCAGCGAGCCTCCGACCTAGTCTTCTCACAGTAGCTGGGACCGCAGGCGCGGCCACCACGCCCAGCTCGTTGTTTTATCTTTCTTCTTTATTTTACTTATTTTGTTTATTTGGCCTGTTGCCCAGGCTGGAGTGCAGTGGCTCCATCTCGGCTCACTACAGCCTCCGCCTCCCTACAACCTCCGCCTCCCGGGTTCAAGCGATTCTCCTGCCTCAGCGTCCCTAGTAGCAGGGACTATAGGCATGTGCCATCACACCCGGGTATTTTTTGTATTTTTAGTAGAGACAGGGTTTCACCATGTTGGCCAGGCCGGTCTCAAACTCTGATCTCAAGTGGTCCACCCGCCTCGGCCTCCCAAAGTGCTGGGATTACAGGCGGGAGCCACTGCACATGGCCGGTTTCATTTTTCTTTTTTGGTAGAGACGGAAATCTCGCTGTGTTGCCCAAGCTGGTCTCGAACTACAGAGCATAAGCGATCGCCCTGCCTCGGCCTCCCAATGTCCAGGGATCACAGGTGTGAGTCTTCGAGCCGACCAGAGCAAAGATTTAAACCAAGGTTGGCCCGACTTCCCCCACCCACCTCCTCTGAACCTGTTTATTGAGGGACTTTTGTCTCCAACCTGATGTGGCTTTGATTGAAACCTGAGTAACAAAGATGATAAGTCGGAGTTTAACATGTTAAGCCTCGACACTCACAGCGCACATAAAAAAACATTTGTGTGACATGCTCAAGGTTGCGCCCAGCCCATGATCTTGCTCTAGGCACCTCCTACTGGTCCGCAGTGGTTAGGAATCCTTAGCTCCAGAGCTGCACCGTTCCATATAACTTTCTGTGGCGAGGAAAATGTTCTGTATTTCTGCTGTCCAGTATGGGAGCTACCTGCCCTATGTGGGTTTCTACCACTTGAAATGTGACCAGCGCAACAGAGGAACTTTTTTTTTTAAGACAGGGTCTCTCTCCCAGTCTGGAGTACAGTGGCACGATCTTGGCTCACTGCCAAGACATAGCAGGTCCAAGCTATCCTCCCACCTCAGCCTCCTCAGTAGCTGGGACCACAGCTACTAATGGCTACTTTTTTGTATTTTTTTGTAGAGACAGGATTCTGCCATGTTGCCCAGGCTGATCTCTAACTCCTGGTCTCAAGCTACCCTCCTCGGTCTTCCAAAGTGCTGGGATCATAGGCATGAGCCACAGCTCCTGGCCGAACTTGATTTTTATTAAATAACCATATGTGAGTAGTAGCTATGGGAGTGGACAGTGTGGCCTCCTAGATTCTGCTCTTTTTGGTCTTTTTCTACCCTTTATCTTCACTAAAGCTGAGTTGCTTAATGTCTCTAGAGTACATCTAGAAGTAGCTTGGGCCTTATGTTCTGACACACAGTTGTTGGGAAGCTGCTGGTGTACCCTAGAAACACATTGAAAGCTTTTATTTAGCTAGCCAGCTGCAGTAGCTCACTCTTGTAATCCCAGCACTTTAGGAGGCCCAGGGAGGAGGTTTGCTTGAGCCCAGGAGTTTAGTACCAGCCTGGGCAACGTGGGAAACCCCATCTCTCCAAAAAATGTTTAAAACTTAAAGTATCTCACATTGTTCAGCTTGCAGACTTTGACTTTCCCACTTATTTTCACTGCTGTGCCACTCTCCATCCTGGTCCTAAGAGGTGTCATTCAAACCTCCAGTTTTCTTCAGCATAGTGGGAGGAGGATTTTGTTTTGTTTTGTTTTGTTTTGGCTGGCTGGTATTTGTTTGAGTAGGAGAAAGGCTAATTACCTTATTGGCTTTTAACCAACCCCCCTCTTTTATCTCCATCTTTCAATAATGCCTTTTCTGGTACCTGGTTTTTGCAATACCTTTAAGTGGGAATTAGCTTGTTTCTCAATAACACAACCCTTACCCCAACCACTGTGCCCTTTGCAGGCATTTGAGTTTTATCTTTTGGCTCTGCTAAGTAGTCATTGGTCATCAGTTGCTCCTTTATGGCCTCAAAAAACTGGTCTGCATATCATATCCTGTTTGCATTTGCGTTGTCCTGGTGTATTTATCCTTTGCTTAAAAAATGTCTGCCAGGCATGGTGGCTCACACCTGTAATCCCAACACTGGGAGGCGGAGGCCAGTGGATCACAAGGTCAGGTTTTTGAGACCAGCCTGACCAATATGGTGAGACCCCATCTCTATTAAAAATACAAAAATTTGCCAGGTGTGGTGGCATGTGCCTGTAGTCCTAGCTACTTGGGAGGCTGAGGCAGGAGAATCGCTTGAACCAAGGAGGCAGAGGTTGCAGTGAGCCAAGATCGAACCACTGCACTCCAGCCTGGGGACAGAGCAAGACTCCATCTCAGAAAAAAACAAACAAACAAAAAAAAAAACAAAAAAAACTCGGGTAGGGGGAGTTACGTTTGTGGGTTTTTAGGAATGGCTGGAGTGGAGAGTGAAAGATACATACATGTGCTTTGTATACCATGTTCATTTGAATTCCCTCCATTTATTCAGCCTACTCCATTCTGGCCTCTAACCCCATCACTTCAGGGAAACTGCTTTTTTAGGTCACCTGTCCTTGCCAAATCTAGGGGCCATTCTTTCCCCCAGTAGCACTTGACACTTAATCATTCTTTGCTTGAAACATTGTTTTTCCAAGACACTACAGTCCCATGTTTCCTCCTACTTTGTAATCTTCCTTAACTGGCTTCTGTTACTCTGTTGTCCTTTTATCAGTAGTGTCTCTGGCTTCATAGTCCTTGGCCCTCTTTTATCATTCTGTTCCTCTTTAGGTGGTTTAATCTGCTTTGGTGATTTTAAGAAGCATGACTATCCTGAAGATTCTTAAAGCTGTCTGTTTCTTTTCATCTACACTGCTACCACTCTTGTCTAAATCTCTGTGACCTCTGGTCTGGACTCCCACAATAGCCTCTACACTGGTCACCTAGCTTGTGCTCTTGCACCCCTACAGTTTATTCCTAACACAGAAGAAACTCTTTACCAAGGCCCATGGTGTCCTGCTGATCAGTCAAGCCCATGATCATCAGGGACCTAAGAGTTTCCTTCTGAAACTCTTCTTGGCTCTTTGCATAGCCAGCTTTTTTAAATCCTTCATACCTCAGGCCAGCTTTCACTCTTTTAAAGAGTACTGTCCTCACAATTGTGCCTTAGTTTGTTCTTCTTGTCTCCTCAACCCCAAATATCATAATCTATAATTTTCTCATGCATTTGTTTATTAACATCCCACTTGCTAGAATGTAAACTCTGATATACAGGATCTTACCTGTCTTTGCCTCTAGGGTGTCTGTCTACATAACAGATGCTTAATAAATATTAGTTGAGCCAGGCGCGGTGGCTCAAGCCTGTAATCCCAGCACTTTGGGAGGCCGAGGTGGGTGGATCATGAGGTCAAGAGATCGAGACCATCCTGGTCAACATGGTGAAACCCCATCTCTA